GCATTGGTGTAGAGCAGCAAACCTCTTATTTGAAAAGATTAACGGGTAAGCAAATTATATTTAAGTAGGGGACAATGGGCAGATTTGAATGAAATTTACATTTTAAATTCTGAGCGGAGCGAAGAATGTATTGATTTTACTATGCAGATCGACACCCAATTGACCACCTTTTTTATGTTTTTTTTCTTCCAAAGAACACTTACAAAAACATTTGAAAAATTATGGTAAAACAAGTTTCTTACAATATCCAGAATTTTTTCCAACCCCAGTTCTCAGCAGAAATCTAAAAATAGTTAACAGACCACGTAACAAAATGAATCCAGCACTTAAAAGAATAAGTTTGAATGAATTCAACCATGTAAGTAAAATGTTGAGCATGTCATGTACAAATAAAAATATAAATAAATAAAACGATTTTTTTTTTAAAGGCCACAAAAATAATTTCAAGCGCAATGCTTAAGTTACAAGAATCAAAACATTCCATAATTACTACAGATTTATTAAATACATATTTAGAAAAAAAATGGACATTTCAATATGTAAGTTATATAATATACAGTTTTGACTCTCATGACGGTCGGACGTGTTCGCGGTTCTTCAATATCGCTGCCTTATCTTACTCTTGTGCGTCTTGCTTGTTGTGTCGTTTTTGTTCGTCGTGCTATTTACGTGTTATCGCATCATTTCACGTTTTTCTTCATTATCCGGCAAATCATTACTGTCTGATCTGTGCCCGCTGTACTAACGACCTTTCTGAACGGTTATTTGTCTCTTATACACCGTGTTCCTAGTGGGTATATACATAGGGTGGCCAGATATAAAATACGAAAATACGGGACAAAGATAAGAATTTTTTTATTATGAATAAACATCTATTTTTGATGAAATGCTTGAATATTTAAAGTCTTAAATCTTAATTGATTACTAACATACCTATACATATTTAACTTACTAAAATAATCTATTTTGGATATTTTATTACAATTGTCAATTTTAAGAATTATAAATATTTTTTTGTACTTATAAGTATAAAATAAACTATGATAACTATAATATAGTGTAATATGAATATTTGATTTAACTGGTGTTAGAAGTTGATGCTTGGGTATTTGTAAGTATTACAGTTTTAACTTTCGTTAAAAACACATTTTCTTTTAGGCATAGTTATTATTTTAATTATTATTTATTACTTATTAGTTCAACTGATATGATAGATTGTAAGATATACACAATAAATGTTCACACACGAAATGCTAAACGCTAACTGGCTAACTGACTAACTGAGAAACTGGGGATGTATAAAAATTATAAATATTTTCACCGACACTACGAGAGATATCATTCTATTTACAAATAATATATACACATATTGTGCTATAATATTATGTCTCATCGTCGGTCGCGACGTCGTGATCGTAATCGTCTGTATGCGGGCTGTGATCCTTTACGACGAAAACCAAAAATAACTTTATATTCGAATAATCGAATTCGATACTTACAAATCGGTTATCGTAATAATATGGCAAAAACACCATTATTCTACAAAATATGCACAAGTATATACGATATACATTTACTATGTAGACCGTAATTGATATTTAATACAGATAGATGAAGATTACCTATATTTTTAATATTTAATTTTTTTTTTTACATATTTTCTATCATATGAAAAAAACGGGACAATATAGCGTCCCGGAAGCATATGTCGGGACAACGGGACAGACTTTTGAAATACGGTACTTTCCCGTATAATACGGGACGTCTGGCCACCCTATATATACACCGTGTCTCAAGTGATTTTCTTTCAAATTCGCAATGAATGATAATTTTGACGTCTTAGCTGCTGAATTGTCCAAATGGACAAAGACAATGTTGGTAGACTTCATACTCAAGAAGTCGCTTCCAGCCACTTGTAAGATGGTGACCTCCATTCTGTCTTACTTGGTACTTCTGACAACGTTACACCCTCTGGTGATGATTCAGTCAATGTAGCCCATATACTAAAATCCGTCGTAACTGAGCTTAAGGTGATTTCGTCCAGTAACTTAAAAATGCATGATATGATTAACCGTCTTTCGGCTGGTTCACCTAGGGTGTCCTCAAGCCAAAACGGGCATCCAGCTCCTTCATTGGATACCAAACACATTTCCGTTGCTGAACCTGTTCGCCATTCTTCGACCAGGAAAATGCCAACTGCAGTTCCTAAGTATTTTGTTGGATCTAAGGAAGCAGTTTCCTCTAATCTGAAGGCTGTGCCTGTGGTGAAATTTGGGACATCTTCGTATCTAGGTTTGATCGTCTGGTATCTAATATCCTTTTATCTACTGCCTCTCAACTCAAAAATGAACTCTTTGTTGGCGTGGATGTGTCAATTTCCCAAATGGTCACCCGAAATCCATCATATTCATACTTCCACGTCCGTATTCCTGCCGAGATGTTGGCGGATGTTCTGCAACCTACTTTTTGGCCGGAAGGAATTATGGCCAAACGATTCTGGGGACGTTTACTTCCAGAAACAATTGTCAACTCTTCTACCTCAAAAAACTAGAATTTGTACGTATTGTCGAACCTTCTCTTAGGAATATTGTTAATAATGAATTATATAATTGTAATTTTGTTCCATGTAAATCTATTATTAAGCATCGTGTACGTTCTTTTAAAAAACCGCTACATTTTGGTTTATATCAAAACTGTCGTGGTCTCAGAACCAAACTTGCTACTATGAACCGTAGTGTAGCCGATTTTGATTTTATTTTCATTAGTTTGTCCGAAACATGGCTCACTGATAGTATTTTTTCTAGTGAGTTAGGTCTGATTAATTATAATGTTTTTAGATGTGACAGGACCAGTGTAACTAGTGTTCATAATAGGGGTGGTGGTGTCCTCATTGCTGTTCGAAATGATGTCTCGTCTCAATTCTTGAAGGTCACTGTCAGTGACTTTGACTTGTTAAGTTTTGTTATAATGCAACTACTTATATCCTATGCACTGTTTATTTCCCTCCTAAATCCTCAGTTGATTCCTTTAGAGTTTTTTATATCGACCCTCGAATATTTCATAACGACCTACCCCGACTGCTCGTTTATTGTATCTGGTGATTTTAATCTTCCTGGTATTGTTTGGTCAAATTACGAAAATGGTGTAACATACTCGACATCAACCACTTGCCATACTCGCTGTGTCCCTGAAAGCTTTGCCTACTTTTATTTTTTACAGTTAAATGAGGTTAAAAATCACTATGGTTCCGTTTTAGACTTAGTCTTTAGCAGCTTGTGCAATATGATTTGTTGTACCTGAAGATCGTTACCACCCAACCTTGATTTTTGATACTATATTAGCCCCTGTTCTAAGTGAATCTGAGTCAACTCATCCCTACTTTGATTTTAACAAAGCAAATTTTGGAAAAATTGAACAATTTCTATTGACGTTCAATTGGTTAAATACAATTAACTCTTTAAATGTTAATGAAGCCACTAACGCCCTTATATGATGCTCTTCATTTCTGTATTATTCACTTTGTGCCTCAGGTCGTGTAAAAGAAGTCCAGGTTTCCCCCGTGGTTCTCCAATGACATCAAAAGGCTGGCCACTCAAAAAAGAAAAGCCCACAGAGCTTACAGAGCCACGTTGTCCCCACTTGACTACTCCACCTTCACTTACCTTCGAGCCCAGTATAAGTTCCTTTCCAAGAAATGCTATGATAACTACATTAAACAAGTTGAAACGTCTTTTTGTACCAATCCCAAATCCTTTTGAAATTTTGTGCGGAAAAATAAAAAAGGTTCCAACTTGCCTACTACCGTCAATTTAAATGGCATTTCCAGTACAAATAGAAAACAATTGTGCGAGCTATTCTCTAAACATTTTAGTTCCGTTTTTTCCTCTCAAAGCTTAAACGTCGACTCCTGTGGTCCTTACGATCTTTATATATTAGTATTAAATATAAGTATTTACATGTTTCCCGCGTGTAGGCCTGTTTAAAATTTCCGCCCTAAATAATATATTATTATAGTATAGGTAGTGCACCGGGATTTCCAATTTTCATGGGATGTCTAAAATCCTAAATTATATTTAATTTTATATTATATTTGCATATAATGAGTAGGTAATGACAGATTACCTGATTACGAAATGTACTAAATAAATGATCTACCTACTGTTAATATATTCTAAGATTACTTACGTTCGATTTTGCATTGTCGGTGTTAAAAATCCTAATATATTTGCATAAATATATGGCGTTGACTTTTTAGACGCTTGTCCAGATTTAGTAACGCATTTACGGCGGAACTATCTCGAAACGATCTCCATGTCTTTTGGAGTTCCATGACTAAAAAAAAATAAATGTATATTAATATAACATTACTCATTCATCATTACTTAAGAGCGGATCTTTAGGTTTTTACATATTTGTATTGGTTTTATGCAACTTTACGAGAATGAAAAATGTGGGTGATTTATACATCAGAGTTCGTAGGAAAAAATTTATTTTGCATATTAAAGCATATTTTGGGCATTAGAGAATATTTAGCCTATATTTTTTTTTATTATTAATAATGTTAGTAAAGTGCATTACAAATCAAATTAAATAATTTTAATAATAAGCATAATACACTATTAGAAAAATAGATATTATATTAAATTATAATTACATTATTTAAATTATCTAGTATACCTACATTAAATACTTACTAATACAATGTATATTTAATTATTCTGATATTTGGCAACTGGGACTAACTTTTCTGCTCTCCACTTCGATGTTTTAATGGGCGTGTCAACTATTGCAAAAATTGTTCGTGAAACATGCGAAGTGTTATGGATAATTCTGCAACCAAATTAAATGGTTGTACCAACAATGGATGATTGGTTACATATATCTGAGGTGTTTTATAATAAAACCCAATATCCGAACTGTGTAGGAACTGTAGACTAGAATGTCCCCCCAGAAGTGGTACATTATACTACAACTACAAACATTTTTTTTCCTTAATCCTCATGGCCATCTGTGATGCAAACTACTGCTTCACAATTATAGATGTTGGATCATTTGGGAAGGAGAGTGACTGTTATATATTTAAAAAATCAGCATTTGGTAAAAAGTTATACAGTGGTAAAAATAATTTTCCACAACCTCAATGTTTGCCAGGAGATGAAGGAGGTACTCCGCAACCTTTCGTTATAATTGGTGACGAAGCTTTTGCTTTGCACACAAATCTTTTACGCCCTTTCCCTGGAAGAACTTTAAACGATAAAAGGCGTATATTTAATTACCGTCTGTCCAGAGCAAGGCAGAATATTGAATGCACGTTCGGTATGTTATCCAACAAATGGAGGGTTTTTCACACCGCGCTATTGGTAGAACCAGATTTCGCAGTAGCGATAACTAGCGCTTGTTGTGTTTTGCACAATTTTGTTAGACGCAGAGATGGATATAACACTGAAGATGCTCAAAATTTTGAAATGGAAGATGCAATAGAAAAAATTGGAGTAGGCAACCTCAATAGCAAAAGAAGTGAGAGACTATTTTGTAAACTATTTTAATGAACCGGCTCATGAGTTAAGTTGGCAAGACAAGGTGATAGGCTAATAGTGAGGATAATATTATGCAATATAATGTGTAGTGTACCTATCATATTTATATTACCTATACCTATAATTATATTATTATTTATAATATTTAAAAAAAGTGTTTTTTTTTTTTTTTTTAATATGTTATTTATGAATTAAGAATATTGTCATTGGCACTGAATATTAAATAAACCTTGCAAGTTACAACATGATATATTTTATGCTTACTTTTTTTGCTTTTAAAAATTTCCTCAAGCTCGTCGAAATCTTTGATAGAAGCTCTGGCCACCTTGGTCCAACTGACATGCTTGGCATTCTTGTCATGGTATAACTTATTTTCTATACATTGAATATGTAATATTATGATGAATGACGTATTACACGGTATATGTATACTCAGAATACTCAAAATAACGAGTGGCGTATTTACATGTAGGCATCATAGGCACGTGCCTACAGCGGTAAATATGGAGGGGCAATTTGAGGGGATAATTTTACAATGTGTGTTTTTTAATTTTATTTTATTGTGTCTGTCGTCACCTTTTAGGACACTAAAAATGCTTTGATTTTCTTCAACAGTATCTTTTCTGATAGGAAAGTGAATATAGTTGGTACCTACTAAAACCGAGAATTTTACGCAAAATCGATTTTGGTTTTTGGTGTAACTTTAAAAGAAATAACTGTAGAGACATGACATTTTAACTGAATGTTTATAATAGCATTTTCTATATACCATAACATTTTGACTTATTTTGAGCTGTTTACGGACATTTTCAGTTAATTTTTATGTAGTTAAAAATTTATAAAAACTTTTTAGCTAAGAAGCACCACTAATTTATTATTTTTTTGTTTTTCATTTGATGCAATTCTTATGCCATCATGTTGTACATTAATTTTTTCTGTTGTTCTTTCAGCAATAAAAATTGTAGGAACAGCGTCGTTTTTTAATAAAATATGATTTCGACCTCCCACAATAGTTTTAAAATCATTTTTAGTGAAATGGTCACTACAGACACGACTATGTTGTGTTGATACCGTTGCCGCAATATTTTTGTAAAAGTAGGCTAGTTATTATGATAGTACCTATATTAAAATATTATATGGCCTTTATATATGTATTTGTTTCCTTGGATAAAATTCTTTCATAAAATATTCATTTATTTAATTCAAAAGTTGTACAAGTATTTTGACTGATACTAAATACTTTTTAACACTAATCATACTATATTCAAAAATTAACATGCATTTCCGAAAAATTGTGGCGCTGGTTATACGCGAATTCGTTGCTCGTAGTGTTGGAACCAACCCACGTGACGCGGCTACGGCGATGGTGGTCTGGTTGTTGGCAGTGAGCCGGTCGTGTAGTGCCTGTGAGTGGCGCGTAGGTATGGTGAATAGAAAGAGAACACAGGTGTCGCTGAATTGTCTTCGAGGGACGTATATTGTTGAGTACAGGAAGAAAACGGTGATGACACAATATTAGAACAAGTCGAAAGTAACGGTCGCAACGTAGTCGCGTTGGGGTGTTGCGGTGTGTAGCGTTTCGGCGTACGTGTGTGCCGGTTAACCGTTGGTGGTCGAGAGGGGGTTTTATCGACTCCGCCCTTTTAATATCAATTCCGCCGCCGGATTTTTGTTTATATTGATTCCGCCAGTTGTTTATTTATGTTGATTCCGCAGACTGTTTATTAAACAATAACCAAAGTATCATATTTTACAGAATTTTTTTTTTAATTAACAGCATAGGTTAGGGTACACTTAGTATAAAGTAAGTTTTATTTAAATAAAAACATTGTCGTCCATAACGGATAATATTTATTAAAATAATAAAATAATATAACTCAAATATCTAGTGCTTATTATTTTTTAAAAAATGAAGTAAGATCGTAATATTTTTAAATAGAGTTATATTATATAATGTGGTCAATTTTTAAAATAATTAACAGTATAGGTTAGGGTACCTACACTTAGTTTTCCATAATAGTATAAATTATTAAGTTTTATTTGAATAAAAACAATTCAAACATTGTCGTCCATAACGGATAATAATATATATTAAAATAATAAAATAATATAACTCATACATCTAGTACCTATATCTAGTTTTACAAAATGAAGTAAGATCGTCATATTTTTAAATAATTAATTAATAATAATAATTCCGTATTATGGTAAGGTAAAAAAAATTAAACAATACAAATATATACAAATTGGTCATTTTTTTAAATACTGGTTTGATGCTAGTTTTATATAAGTGAATCTATCAATTTTTTTATTTATATAATCGTCAAAAATGTTTGCTATGTATTTTTTTTGGTGATTTTTATTTTTACTTATTTTTTTGTTGTTTAGTCCTCTTATTATTATACACGAATTAGTTTGTATTGCAGTTTGTAACTTATATGTTCATTGTTCGTGTATTATTCTACTTCAACTTTTTTTTTACGAGTTAACTACAAATTACAGTAAGTTATAGTGTGTAAATACTAATGAAATAAAATATATCTTGACATAAATGTAAACATAAGCCTTTTACACACTTGTTGCTATTACTGTATAATGTAAAAAAATTCGGCGGAATCAATATGTAAAAAAGTTCGGCGGAATCGATATGTAAAAAAGTCCGGCGGAGTTGATACGCGGCGCAATCGATAGATTTTTTACAGGTAAAAAGGTAATTTCGGCGCAATCGATATACGCCCGTCGAGAGAGGTTTCGCCGGCACTCGTCCGGCGCGACTCGCTTCCCCGTCACACCTTCTGCCCTTTGGCATGGTGGGGGAGTCGACAGTGTCGTAGCCCGTAGTGTTGGTTGGTAAGTTGCTGTAAGGTAGCTCCGACGTCTGTACTTCGTATCACACGGTCGGTGTCAAGGAGGAGTATGAAAGTTTTTTGGAAAACCCTCACTTGCCTATCTCATGTGGTTATAAAAATGTTTTAAATTTTATTTGGCCACCCTCCAAAAAGCAAACCAGTTAGACAGTTTGTGGGATGCTGGATTAGAAACCGAAATACATTAGTTGGGGTAACACATCATTTAGTAAATAATTCAAATGCTAACCTCTTATATTGTACTTATATTATTGTTTCTCCGCCCCTGTAATTATATGTATAATTAATAATTACACAATTAATAATAATAAAAAAAAATAATTATTAATTATTAATTTTTTTACTTTTAGCCAATATTTGAAAACAGTTATCCAGTCGTAAATAGAAGTTTCATGTTTACGGATATCGATTTACATCCGTACGACATAAGCTGGTCGGACTGGGAAGGTCTACACAACGATTATGTGAAGAACCCACACGGGGACACAATCAGTGACATACGAAAAGTGCTGGATGAGTACGCAAGTCCTACGTACCCAAGTTCTAAAGGGTACGAAGTCACTATACGTCAACGCCCTGGAGTTCAAGACTTCCGCCCTTTGTCCCCATTTAAACGAGTACGGCGGAAATGCCACGGACATGACATTGCAGGTGTGCAAGCTGTGTCGTTGGACATTATCTAATGCAGTCAGGTGTATGGGAAGAAAGGGGTTATTATCGTACTTTTTCCATTCTTGCAATAGTGCATGTTCTCTTCGTAATACTGGCGGAGCAATGTTACTAAGCACAGGTAACCATTTTAGTGGTGTAGACATTGTCAGCCCACCAATTGTGCGTATTTCGGCATTAAGGTATTTGTCTACGTTCTTTGTGTGCACAATGTTAAGCCAGACAGGGGCACAGTACTCAGCTGTAAAATACACTAATGATAGCGTGCTTATACGTAACGTATTCGCATCAGCTCCCCATGTTGAGCTAGATAGCTTTGAAATGTTGCTCTGACGGGTCTTGACTTATGCTGATAATCTGGTTAGGTGTTCTCTATAAGTGAGTGTTATATTTAGAACCACTCCTAGGTATTTAGGGTGTTTAGTATTTCTTACTTCCTGACCGCCAAAGCTTTTATTTATTTCTTGACTAGCTTTTTTGTTATTCAAATGAAACATTGTTACTTCCGTTTTTGTTGGGTTAGGCTTTAGTCTCCACCATTTAAAATATAGGTCTAACTTATTAAGATCGTTGGTTAGGGTCTCTTCTAGTCCCTCAAAGCTGGTAGGGAAGACCGGGTACAATTGTATCATGGTACAATTGTTACACAAGCAATAAGTTGTTCATTAGCCAATACAAAAATCTCAAATAAATACAACAGTTGGTCCCCCTGTATTACAGTCGATGTTCCTGATCAAAATTATGTTAACATGTTTACCGAACGAAAAAAAAAATTAAATGTGTTTTTGATAACAAATACTAAATAAAATCATAAAATTACTTTTTTTACTTGAGAACAGGGTTTTATTTTATATTTCACCATTGTTAGTTTTATATATTCCAATAGTTGTGTAGTTTTTGTTTGTGCAGGTGAGAATACTCTAACTAGTCAATATTTTTTTTAATAATTAAGTATTTTGAAAAATATTGAATGGGTACAAATGTAACGGCTTATATGGGTACAATTGACACATTTTATATTTTATTATTAAAATTTTATTAGACTTAGCAAACATTATTTTATATTCTGATTGACAGTAATGGCACGAATAAGAAAGATAACTACAAATAGAGGAACTGACAGTGAGATAATGAAGATAGCTGCAGAAATTTGCATAAATGAAAGCAAATCAGTAAGGTCGGTGGCTGGTGATTTTGATATTTGCAATGTTAGTCTCAATCGATATGTAAAAAAAATAAAAGCTAGTAAGTTAGGACAGTGTTCTCCTCCAAAATGTAGTTATCATTCACATACTAGAATTTTTAACAGTGCTCAAGAAACTTTATTATCTGATTATTTAAAAAAAATGTTCTGATATGTACTTCGGATTAAGTACCAGAGATGTTAGAAAATTAGCGTTTGTTTGCTAATAAATTAAATTTAAAAGTACCACTGTATTGGACTGAAAATAAGTCAGCTGGTGTGGACTGGTTTTCTAATTTTTTAAAAAGGAATTCTACATTGTCAATTCGCCAACCAGAGGCCACAAGTTTGTCGAGAGCGATGAATTTTAATCCTATTAATGTAAACATGTTCATGGACAAGTACGAATCTGTACTTATTAAATATAAATTTGAAGCACATCAAGTGTTTAACTTAGATGAAATCGGCATTACTACTGTTCAAAACCCAGGAAAAATAATTGCAGAGAAAGGGAAAAAACAGGTTGGAGCGATAACTTCAGCAGAGCGTGGAACACTAGTTACAATGTGTTTGGCAGTTAATGCAGTTGGAAATGCTATTCCTCCGATGTTCGTTTTTGCTAGGGTAAATTATAAAGATCACTTTATTAGAGGTGGTAAGCCAGGTTGCATAGGCACATCTAACAAATTAGGGTGGATGCAAGGTGAACAATTTTTAATATTTATGCAACATTTCACCAAACATGTACGTTGTACACCGGAAAATAAAGTTCTAGTACTCCTGGATAACCATGAGTCACATTTATGCTTACCAGTCATAGATTACTGCAGAGAAGTCGGTACTGTGTTATTATCGTTCCCTCCACATTGTTCACACAAACTCCAGCCACTTGACAGATCTGTGTTTGGTCCATTTAAAAAATAAATAAATAATGAAATGGATTCTTGGATGAAAACCAATCCAGGTAAAAGATTTTCAATTTATGATGTGCCTTCTGTCACCACCAACGCTATTGTAAATTCAGCTACGCCAAAAAACATAACAAATGGTTTGGAATGTGGCCTTTCAATAGAAATGCCTTTACAGAAGATGAATATGCTCCAGCAATTGTTACTGACATAGTCTTAAATTGTGAAATAAGGAGATACCTAGTACTAGTTCTATAAATATAGAAATACCTGTAATAGAAACATTAGAAACACAGTCAATTTCCCTGGTGACACCTGAAAATGTTAGACCATATCCAAAAGCTAAATTAAACTTAAAAATTACACAAAAAGGTGGAAGAAGAAAGGGGAAAGCAACCATACTGACAGACACACCAGAGAAAAATGAGATTGCACAAAGAGCAGCTGAAAAAAACAAAAATATTAAACGTAAACTATTTCCTACAGAAGCTAAAAAAAGAAAAGGAAGTAAAAATGTAACAAAACAAAAAAAAATGAAAATATACTACTTCTTTCAACGTAGAAGACGACACTTTTTGTATGATTTGCACAGAATTATATTCAAATAGTAAAAGTGGGGAAGCTTGGATCCAATGTTGTAGGTGCAAGTTTTGGTCACATGAAGCTTGTGCCAAAATTATGTTTACTGCTTATTATACATGTGACAATTGTGAAGCTGACGATGAAAAATAATATAAATCCCTTCTGTTTCGCCTATTTTATTTAATTATATTATATTATAAGTTTTTTTTTTAAATTTTAAAAGTCAACAATTAAGTTCCTAAACAAAGTTTATATTTTATTTTATTTAATGATTATATGTTATATTTTTATTTAAACTTATAAGTAAAAAGTTATGTTAATTATGTAGTTATGTTATAACTTATAAGAGTTAAAAAAGTCAACAATTATGTTCCTGACAAAGGTTATATTTTATTTTATTTAATGATAATGTTATATTTTTATTTAAAATTAAAAGTAAAAAGTTATGTTGATTATGTAGTTATGTTATATGAGTTAAAAAAGTCAAAAATTATTATTTGCCCTTCTTATGTGCCTTCTGAAACTGTGTAAAGTCACTGTTTCCCCATGAATACTTTGAGTGTGGTGTGCTGTTATTAATTCTGTTTTAAATATCTGAAATAATTCCAGTGTTAAGTGTCAGTTGAACTGAGCAAGGTAGAGTTAGTACGTTTTCATTCATTTTTTTATATTTTATTTCTACGTGTATGTTTGAAATATTTTGTTTCTTCTTCTTAATTGCTGAAATAGTTAAAAGTTATTTGTTATATAATTATTACATTTGTGACTATTTATAGAATATTATTTTACGTATTATTTCTGTGATTCACGTAATAATATTTTATTTAATTATTAATGTTCATTTATCTTTATTTATTTACTTATTTCGTTTATTTATTAATTTGTTAATACCTATTTTTTTTTTTTTTTATTGTGTTAAATTATATATATTTTATATTGTTTTTTTTAAAGTTTGTCTATCAAATATAGTCCTCGGTATATTAGGTGTGTCGGATAAATTGATTTAATATATCGGCTGTTCTCAAACACATCGAACTATTTGGTGGTGCACTATTACATATTGTACAAAAGAAGGCTGTTAACGGACGCATTCTGATTCTATATACGCACGTCACAGTACTCCCGCGAGGGGTGGTATTTTTGTTTTACCGATTTCTTTTTTTAATATTATTATGGCTATTTTACAACTATCTCATTATTACTAAATTGTATATTATTATATGGGAACTTTTCTACTTTACCTCGATTTGCTATTCAACGCCTCTCCAAGTAGGCCGCAGGTTTAAAAAAAATGAATTTTTGTTGCACCGATTCACCGAGCGGGGTCACTCGCTCGCTCGGACAATTAAAAACGAAAATATCCCCCGATTTGCTGTGCAACCCCCCCCCCCCAAGTATGCCACAGGTTTAATCGGAAAATTCGCGTGGCCGCTAAACTAGAATTATGCCAAATTACTAACTAACACTTAAAAATATTTACATTTATAGCATGTCACTCAGACACGAAACATTTTTTACAAGTCCCATCTTACGCTATTAGAAATTTGTAGCTTTATTAATTTGTGGTCACTGCACTGTTCATTCCCGGTGATGAAAGTGCAATTGAGGTTCTCCAACCAAGTTCTAACTGATTGGTCGCCTTTTTGCCGAGAAGTAAGTTATGACGCGATGGTGGTACGGAAATTAAAATTGGGCGGCTGTGGACGTACGGTCGATCAACGAATCGAAGTTTGGACGTCGAAAGCATCATCGGGGTCATAGAGTTGAGGGCCAATGGGTTTTCGGCGGTTATGAACGGGAAACAGGTAACTGTTTTATGATCCCCGTTGAAAACCGAACCGCCGAAACCCTTCTGGTCATCATAAAAGACTGGATAGAACCGGGAACAACCATTATATCCGATTGTTGGAGAGTAATATATTTGTCCAATATATTTTAGGAAATATAAATTAATTTACTATTGTATTTTAGGCCTACAATACCTTAAATAATGAAGGCTATCAGCACCTAACTGTAAATCATAGTCTGCATTTTAAGGACCCTGAGACAGGGGTCCACTCTAACACAATAACAAGTTCGTGGAGGCATTCGAAGGCATCAATGTCTAATTACTGCCGTAAAAAAGCTTTTTACGCAGGCTATTTGGCGAAATTTATGTTTACCAAACACTGCCGTTCGCATAAGCTAGACCCAACAGCTGAGTTCTTTAAACTTGCGGGTATCCTTTATGATGTGAACAATAACGATAATATGATATTCAACGACGGCGACTACGGTGACGACGATGATGACGGGAACGATGACGGTGATAAAGACGTAGGCAAAGACGACGACAAATAATTATATAAATATCAATATTCGTAGTAGGCGAGCGGTAAACTAGTGTTGCGCGAATGCGTGAAAATCGCAAAATAGCGAACTTCATTAGGCCATTACTTCAAAACTAAGTCCGTGCTCCAAATTTGGACTTCACTATCGTTTTCAGCGTGCTTAACTACATAAGTTTAAAAAAAAAAATTGCAAAAAAAAGGGTGTCCGGTAAAGTAGAAATATACCCCAGTTTTTAACCAATGATCCATAGTCTAAAATATTATGAAATATCAAAAAAATATTAATTACCAAACCACTGAAGATTTTTATGTACGTCGTTTGTGACACGGACACACTGAAAGTAAGCGACTGACCTAATTATTAGAATAGATTTCGATATCAAACACACAGAGAGTGGTGTATATGAGATATCTGCAGGTAAGATAAAAATTTAAAACCATTTAAAAACACAAATTTTAATTTTTTCCGCCATTTCACTTTTTTTTCACATACCCCCTCATACCTTCTTCCAGGGGTACACGTACCACAGGTTGAGAAAAGCTGCTTTAGGAGAATAAAAATACAAAGTTAAAGCAAATTCTTTAAGGGGGCTCCAGCGTATCATGTTTTAAGGAGTAATATTTAGGCAATTCACATAACATGAATATTTGAGCTATGTCTATGTGTGAGTAGTAAATGAACATTAGTGTGTGTAATCCATTATCGCGTGCCACGGACTATCGGTCGACAGTATTACGAATTCCCAGAACTACGTATAATTAAAATGCTATAAAAATGACTAAATATGTTCAATTGCGCGCGTTATCTTTTACTATTATATTACCCTACTCACTACTCGGCTTTCGCTGCAATTCGCAAAAATTTTAGTATACCGGCAACCAATTTTCTTCCTTCTTTTATTTTTATTTTTTTTTTAAACATTTAAAGTTCAAAAATTGACAAAATATGGTAAAATCACGAAAATTAGCAAATTATTTTGAGTTGATAATTCGTAAAAAATTTTCTTTTTAAATCTAAGATTTTAAATGTAATACAAGATTCCTTATAAGATTATCAACTTCATCAACAAAACATCTCTACCGGAACGTAAAGGCAACTCTAGCAATATTAGATGCAGATTTACATATACTTTCATCTAAAGAATGGAAGATATTTAAAGAGTTGTGCCTTGTACTCAAACCATTTGATGAAGTCACAAAATTAGTAAGTGGCGAGAACTATATATGTGCTTCTATGGTTATTGTTTTGAGCAAAAGATTAGCTGATATATGTGAAAAATTGAAAAATAAGCCTTTTGATTCTTCAGTGAAGGGAACTACTAAAGTTCTACAAGATGGCATCAATTATCGATTCTCTGATTTAGAAATGAGCAATACCTTAAGAATGGCAACTTTCTTGGACCCAAAATTCAAACATTATGCTTTAACCAAATCGTTAGGAGATAAAACAAAAACAGAAGTAATAAACGCAGTTGCACAACATATAATAAATAACTCAAATAATACTGAAACATTACATGCAGTTCCATCTGCAGTTCCAGTTGAAGAAAGAATATGAATGTTGTATTTGGATTAATTTTGATTCAATGACTTCAGCAATAACACCTCAGGGAACAAATACGTCAAAAGCGATCATTGAAGTAAATAGGTACATTGATGAGAACATATTACCACGAACAAGTGATTAGTTTAGTTGGTGGAGGGATAACAGTTACAATTACCCTAATTTAAGTACAATTGTTAAAGAAAATGTTGCGTGGTAGGATCATCTATTCCTTGTGAACGAGTGTTTTCAAAAGCAGGTTTTGTCATTAGTGAACTCCAAAATTGTCTTAAACCCAATAAAGTGAACCAAATTTTATTTTTGAATCACAATTTTAAGTTGTTTGAAATGTGAAATATTAGTTATTATTAATAATTATTATTAGTATAAAATAAAAAGTAATTTTATTGATTTTAAATATTTTATAATTATTATTATACTAGGTAATACAAGTATATAGGTACCAGTTTTCAGTGGCGCCGAACTATTTTTTTAGGTGTGGCAATGAACAATTACTTATATAGCCACCTCCCCCATTGGATATTGGCTATTAGAACTAACCTCCGCCCCACCAATTTTTAATCTAAAAAATATTTTCACAAGTTATAATATTTACCGCATTATGTCTACAATATAGCATTATTTAATATTTTATCATATTACTACAGTTAAGATTATCTCCAGTAAAAGCCTCCTCAAAATGAAAATCAAGTTTTTATCATTTAAAAACGATATTCACAGTCACTGATTTAGTTATTTAAGCTTTTAGCTAGGTAGGTACATCATATCATTCAGTAATAATTAGAACTATTACATTTTTTTCTTATACCCATGTAAATATATGTATATTATTTGGTTAATGGTTTGCATAATATTTTTTTAGTATAATGTACTATAGTAATACCTATATTAAATAAAAATATTAATAATTGCTTTAGTTTCAATTCCAATGTAATTTTCACCTGATTCTTATATATTCCTATACATATAATAATATAATATTGGTAAATATAGCTATCTAGATGATATTATAAAGTTATATTTATATTACAATTTACAGCTATTTAAGTAACTCATTTTACTAATAGTAAAATATTGCATTATAAAACGTCTAATTTCGTCCAAGTTTCAACTTAAAATTACTATAAAAAAAACTGTGCTTATATATTTTTTAGATGTTTTGGTAACAGTATTGCCCACTCATGAGAAATCTCCTTTTAAATTTCCGATCTTTAGCTATAAAAATTGAACATTTTATAAATTTTAAACCAAAATTA